ACAAATGTGGTGTCCATAAACTCACCACTTACATTGCGGAGCTCGGACAGAGTGCATCTTTCGGACCATTTTTTTTAAACCTTCAATATACATTGACAAATAAAGAATACATTTCACATATATAATCTGGTCCAAAAAAAACATACAAAAACAAGCATCTGATCAATAACACTGCGGTGACTCTTCTTCACTGCTCAGTAGTGACCTGTGGGAAAGGACATGCAAGAATGTATTTATATTGAAAACAATTCAAGCATATTTTATACTTTAATGTGTGTTAACAGTTTTATTTTTTTGGAGTATTTAACACTTTACTAATTAGGTGTCACTTTACCGTATTCGAGTTTTAATATATAAACATTATTTTTGTTTTTATGATTCTTATTTTGGAACATTGAGTAATATTTGATTGTACAATATGTAGATTATTGGAATAAACCAGTGGTTCTCAAACTTTTTTCAATAATGTACCCCCTTTGAAAAAAAAATGCAGCCACGTACCCCCTGATCAGCGCAAAAACTATTTGTTAGGGAAAAAAAGCCTATATAAAGAGGTACAGTACAGCGCTGCACCATCAGTGTCTGATTTATTAAAACAACAACCTTGTAACTGAGAAACATTTAAATGCTACATTTCAAATGTTTAGAATCCATCACTAAATTCATGGCAAACCAATTTTAACATCATGCAATAACACTAAGACGACATTAGTTGCATTGAACTGATCTTTTTAATAAGTTGTACTTACAATGTAGTGAAACATGGGCTTGAGCTTCACTGAGGATCTTTGTCATGCTGACAGGGAGGCAAACTGCAGTTATTACACTTCGCGTTTTGAAACATGTGTAACTCTGTTAATATAAAACCCACACTGCTCCAACTTCGTTACTTTTCCTACAATTGGTATTTTTATTTATTAATTTTGGGGCGTGGGGAATGAAGAGAAAAAAACATATGAGCATTTATACCTATAACCGCTCATATAAACATATGCATAATGCTGCGCTATACTTTGCGGCCACACCCTGTTGCCAAGCAACGCTTATTGTTTAGGTGTCCTTTGATAAGCAGGTAGTCATATCATTAACTAGAAGTAGCTAGATCTGATGGATATAAACATAAACGCGAGTGAAGTCTAATCGGACGGGAGAGAGAGATCAGCTGCTGCTGACGGAGACACAAGCAGCTCTACATAATCACCTGCAGCGGTGAGCGGAGCAAAACACACACTAAGAGTTAGAACTTAGCTATTTGATCTACTCTGGAACTAGCTAAATTAGTTATAAATAGGCTATGTTTATTTACTGTCGGGTCACTTATTACAGGTTCTTCAGCGAGCTGCCTGATACTGACGGGCTGTCAGGAGAGGGAGAGGAAAAGAGAGCACCCCGTTTATTTTTCCCATTTTATTATCCAGAATTACTGTAAACTTTTGAATAAAGTAGTTAATCTACTATTAGTAGTTTGTTTAAATGTATTACTTATTTAGTTTTTTTCATTAACATAAAATACATCTTACGTACCCCCTGCAGTACTCCAACATACCCCTAGGGGTCCGCGTACTCCCATTTGAGAACCACTGGAATAAACTGTCCATTCGTCAATATTATAACATTTGGTCTATTGATAGAAAAATGATTTGTCCTCACGTGGCGAGTAGGACCGGGACCGGGATCGTGAGCGTGAGCGATACCCTCTGCTGTAGTAAGGAGATGGAGATCTGCGTCTGTCGGGAGAAAACAAAACCAAAGCACTTCATTTGAGGCCTGTAAATATTACCAATGGTTAGGATCACTTAATGAACATGATCAACTTCAGTCCTTAAATCCTAAAAGCTTCATCTAGTACATAATATGTCTTCAAAATAACAATCAATAGACGAATGTGCCAAATCAACTTACCTGTATGATCTGTACTCTCTGTCGTCATAGCGTTCATAATCACGATCATAACTTCTGTCATAGCTCCTGACGGAGCCCCTGTCGCAGTCCCTGGAGTTACGCTGCGATGATGACCCACCACCACCACCACTGCTACTACTGCTACCCCCACCACCTCCTCCGCTACCGCCACTGCCACCGCCACTGTAAAAACACACAGAAGAAATACATAGTGAAAAGTTGGAAGATGTTGCACATAGCAGCTTTAAGGAAATGCTCTTACAGAATAAAGCTGCCTGGTAGAGGAACACTCACTATGTTGGTCGTCCCATGTATATCCCAGGTGTGGGTGTATGAGCTCTTTTCGTGATGGAGAAATCTACTCTGATCCTGCGCCCATCAAGCTCCATCCCGTTGGCACGCTCCTTGGCCTGAAACAACAACTAAAGGTAATCCTTTTGTATTAATAAAATAATGAGTCTTCAGGGGAAAAATTAAATATGGAGGAACTCTAGACCAATGCCCTGCTAACGTTATGGCCAAAACTCCAAACTTTTCAAGTATTTGTAATAAAATAAAAATGTGTATTTGTCTGTTTTATCCGACATACCTCATTAGAGTCCTCACGAGTTTCAAAGTAGACGAAGGCAAAGCCCCGAGAGCGACGTGACTGCTGGTCGTACACAATGTTGACGGCACTCAAAGGGCCGTACTTTGAGAACACCTCCCTCAGATCCCTCTCTGTGGTGTACAGACTCAGCCCAAACACACCCAGACAGTTGTTAGGGTCTGGGTTGGCCTGTAAGAGCACATAGAGCAGTGTATAAATATTGTGAGCAACTGACCTCCCAAGCTGGTAGAAATCTAGCTTTTCTAAGCAATTCAGAATCTGGGTATCTGAATGTATTTGGTAAGAGAGGTGACATTCCTCAGGATTTACACAATAACGTTTTTTTGTTAATTATTATATTAAGAAATATTTAAAGTGACAAAAAATTGTTCAATCTACACACAGAAAACACAAAAGAGTCAATTAGATGTATTTAGGGGTATTTCTTAGTATTTAAAAAGTAAAAGACTCCATGGGAACCCCAAAATCAAGCATGTAGAGGTCATTTTTACCCTGTTGCCAATGTGCCTGCGACGATTTGACATGGGTGAACGGCTGTGGCTCCTGTGCCGGCGGTGCTCCCAGCTACGAGATCGGCTCCTGGAACGGCGTCGGTGAGAACGGGAACGAGAGCGGGAGTGATGTCTGCGTGAGCTTCTATGGGACCGGGACCTACTAGAGATAAACATTAACTTATCTCTGAGCAAGTCATTTATTTTTTAGTCAGATGAGCAACTAGCTTCAGTAATGTATTTCAAGAGTCAACATGTCAAAAATAACTTTAAAAAACCATAATTTTCATAAGCACATGAAAGTAAATCATATCTTACCTGGATTTGGATCGAGATCGGGATCTGGACCTGGAGCGGCGGGAGCCATCTTTTGAGCGTATCGGTGAGCGGCTGGAGGATTTAGCGGAGCCCTGAGGGGACGCACTCCTCGAGCCAGGCTGTGAGTCCTGGACAGAGGACCAGACACGGAGATAAGAAACACTATAAGGCCCATTGTGTGCCAAATAGAGAGCCAGGAAGTGACAGTGTTGCCCTCAACATGCCCCCTTCAGAAAGAGTTTATCATATTTTGCCATTTAACAGGTTTGACACAACATATTTAGGAATGTGATTATAAGAGGTGATACATTGTAACAAATGGTTAAATTAGATATGTTGTAATTTAGCTGAAAGACATATAGCACAGAAAATAAGGTAAAATGTGTGTAGGCATTGACCAAAGATGTTTCTGATAGTGGAAAAAAATGTGCATGCTTAAGAGAAAGAAACAGGATGAAATACAGAAGCATAGCAGGCCGTTAGGAAATTACTCATACCCTTGTAAACTTCTGATCTTAACTTCATAACTTCTTTAACTTCATTACAACCCTCCATGTTCTTCTTTCTTCAGTTTGACATTATGACTTCTTTTTCCTCCTCTTCCCCCATTTATCATCTGCCATTACAACACTAGAAGTGGGGCCAGATCTTGATCGCTTCTTTTTCAGCATGGAATACATTAGCATGCATCAACACCATCAGCGCCAAACAATAACAACTTCACATCTGACACGTCTTCCGCCTTTTTCTTTCTTCATTACTCAACCTTAATAAAGAACAAACAAGGGTGATAAGGCATGTTGGTTTCCATAGGAACCAAAAAAGTTGAAAACAAAAACAAAAAGCAGCAAAACCAGAAAAAAACAACAGTCATTAGCTGAATACACGTTTGTATGTTAGCATGACATGGTCTTGATTGGTCATACATTACTATGGACATAATCATTTACTATTGCATTGTATTATTATTTTGTTATTACTGGTTGTCAATATTCCATTTGTTTGATTTAAGTAACACATTAGCAATAAAGCTAGGTAGCAAATATCATGTCAAGTGGACGACCACATTACTCGACTGTAGGCCGTATTAACGTATCGGATTTTTAAACATTTCAGACACACTCAGTAATTAAATGTCACGGTACTCACATGAAATCTATATATCGCATCTATTTAACAATACAGAACAGATGTTACTCAGTTTTGAAGCCAGGTGTCAGAATGTTTTGTTATTTACGTTACCAGCGATCGAAGCTATCATTTAAGCTAGCTAGATGTTCCAACTGTCATTACGTTATATAAATATCCCAACTCACCTGCTTCCTAAATTCTTTCTCGTTGTCGCTCATGTTATTATAATTAATTTAACACAGCAAATACACGTGATAAACGAACTGTCACAACTGATTCAAATCCTCAGCCAAATTTACGGAATCGCAAACTGGTTTGAGCTGAACCAGCTAGCGTTAGCTTAGCTAATGTAAAATGGAACCGTTCTGAAACGAGAGAAATAATCTATTCCGGTTCCGGTTGGTTTGCCAAATACATCTTGCATTTTACACTTATATAACAAAAGCCCTGTATATTGAATTCAAAGGCTGCTTCCGTTTCATAAAAACCAAGACCGTATACTTTCATAATAAATGTTACAATAAGGTGAGTCATTTAATAAATCAAAGTCCAGTTTTAAAAATGAAATACTTTATTACAGGGAGAAAGAAAATCACACTTTTAAGCATGAACTCAAACATGTGTGTGTGTACAGTAGTTTGCTATGCAGTATACTATACTGTAAGTTTAACTTAATGTTATAGCCCTAAGTAGCCTCTTGCATTATGCTCATGGAAAAGATTGCTAGATCAAACAGCGCCTTGTGTTTCATAATTATGGTAAACATCGATAAATGCTCCACTCATGGAGTAAAACAAACTATACACACTCTCCAGAAACACTTTCTCATCCAGTCAAGTCATAAATAATAGCAAAACAAACATACTTCAAGCGGTCAACCATGTCAACATCTCTTTTAAATAAGGGACTGGAAAGGAGGTATTGATTGATTTTCATTGTCTACATTTCCCACAGAGATTGCATTCATGACATTAGCATTGCAGTAGTCACTGTTGACAATACAATCTCACAGTTTTGAATTTACACCGAAATATCACTGATCTTCAACAATCAAATTAAATACATTTTGAGTCAGACTTTTGATTTTTATGTGACCAAGTAATTTCCCAAAATAAACAAAAGCATGCTCTCTAATTGGAGCTCAGTGTCAGAGGGCTGAAGGCACTTCCGGCAACACTTCAAACAGTAGAACCAACTATTAAGTCAGTACAAAAAGCCATTCAGTCAGTAGTGCCAAAACTTGTGTAAAACATACACTTCTTCCATCCTGATAATGTCTCCAATTATAACTCAGAGAATTCAAAATGTTAATACAGGAAAGGAGATACAACCATCTTTTAAGACTTTGTTTTAATTTCCTCAGACCAGAACAGCGACACTGGGTTAATTTTGGTCCACGTCTTTGGCCCATTCATTTTTTTCTTCAGCATGTAGTTAATCTACACAGATGTTGCTCCCATTCAGAAGGTCACTGTTGTTAGGCGGTAATTAGAAATTGTTGCGATCCTTTAAAGCAGTTTCTGATTGAGGATTTCCCAAATCATTACTTTCCTGAAGATCGGCATGTGGCACTGTAGAGAAAAAGGAAAATGTTTCTCAAGCTTTCATATGACAGAGTTTTTACAGCTTTTTAGGAGTAATTCATTCAAGCTCTTTCAAGGTACCTAAAGCAAATCGTTACAGACTCCTGTTGTTACTAATTCATTGATTAAACTAATAACTAGGTCAGGTATGCTCTGGGTCTGATGTGAGACTCCAGGAGACAACAAACAGCTGCTAATGGGATTGTTTAATTTCAAATATGCAAATTCCTAACCCTGAAATCATAACAGCTGGAATATAGCATTTTTAAAACATTTGAGGAATTATATTAAATAATGTTGTAGAACACAACTAGATGCAGAAAAAACAAAACTATATTAGGTGAAAATAACGTGTATACCTGTTTAAAGGTTAGAGGACTTCCTTTTGCGATATAGTCAGCGTATTTACATGCGAAAACCCCACAGTCGCTGCCATTCTTTTGCTGGGGAATCTCCTAGAGGCAAGAACAGTGTACAAAACATTAATCTCACAGTAAATATGAAAATATTAATTATAGTGTAAGTAATTGATCTCAGTCTGACTTACCCGCAAGCTCCCAACAGACCATTTAGTGCCTTCGAGCTCTCTGCCTTTCTTTACTTTGTGCTCCTCTTTTAGGTAATGTCTGGGAAAAAAGCATATTGATGTCATGTCAATTGATGTAAACATTTAAATGGACAGATAACCAAAGCAGAAGAACACAATGAGGACTCACAGTAAAAGACCGCAGATGTCATCGTGCCTGTGTCCCATCGAGTCATATGACTTAACTGTCTTTGACTTCAAATCAATCACCTTGAATCAGAGAGGGAAGTATAAGGTCAAATATATACAGTATAATTGCCCCGCTTACATTTTTACTTGAACACTTAACCACAAAGCAGATGCAATAAGGATTTTTTACACTGTTGAACAAAAAGAACATACTTTAACATTAAAGTTACAAAATAATGAATGGATAATTTAAGTACCAGTTAAACACAAAAGCTGGCAAAAACTGCTGAAGTACATCAGGAGCTGTCTGGCAAGAATAACCAACTAAAAAGGAGGAATATGACCTGGGAAGAAACCCTTCAAAGTCTTTGTTGTTGGGACTCACAGCCATCGCCCAGTGGACGCCCAGGTGCAGAGGGACCAGGAGGAGGTCGTAGAGGAAGAGGTCGACAGCCTTGGTCCAGCGCCTCACTGCCGTGTGTCCGCCTGCCTGCCCGCCTCCGCCCCCCCGCAGCTTCGGGAAGAAGAAGGTGCTGAACGAGTAGATTTTCAATCCTGCTGCTTCACCAGAGCACCGCTCCATGACAAGAGACAGGTAGAAGTTCATCACCTTGGTAGAGGAAACAGGGGAGGCACAATGTAACACATGTTTATCTTATCTACTTTGTTTTATATTGTTGCATCGATTCAGTTGTCTTATCTGTCAGAGAGAAACCATTATTGATTTTATTTTTATTATCATACATTTTCCCTCATTGTGTCTTTTAACCTGATAAAATGTTATATTTCGCTGCATGTACCTGTAAAGTTCTTAACTTAATAATCTGAGGGGAATTTCTTGTTGTTTATTTTTAACTTGTGATAAGTCATTTTGTAAAGCACTTTGAACTGCATGTGTTCTATGAACAGTGCTAAATAAAGCTTTATTATTATTATTAAAAGTCCTAAATGTATCTCTTCAGTCATTTGACATAAAGAATATTATGTTCTTTGAAATTATAAAAAGAGGCTTTTACTTTCACGGCATAATACAATGACACGTACAGTAGGTGAATGCTCACACAGCACAGAGAATAACAGCTGTATTCAATTCCAATGCCATATTTAGAAAACAGCTCGTGCAACAGGCTTTGTTTCCATGGTGACGGTGTGCAGTTGCTGCTACTACCACCAAACAGAACATCGTCAAACACTGACTTCACTTCATACACAAAAGACTCAACTAAAACACTGGTAATGAAGACGTAGGTAGCATTTACTTTTTCTATTACAAGTTCTTATTGCAAGAAGTGTCCAACATTCGACAGGGTTATGTGTCATTGCTGTTCATACAGTGTAGATATAAATAACATGGATGAAAATATATACAAATGCAGTTGTTATAAACAGTGTTTGGTATATCCTTTGAACACACCCCTTTGTTGAACACAATTGGTTACAAGTATCCAAAGTTGTTTGTATTAAATGAAACTAATGAGAACAATTAAATTAAAATCTAAATTGACATCCACAATAATATCAGTTTGCTAGAAACTGTCTTCACACTTTAAAGGTCCCCTATTATACTGTTTTGCATCACTATATACAAAACATGTCTCTGAAGTGTTTGGCTCAAAATAACAAACAGATCATTGCCATCCCATAATCCCCTCTGTTTCAGCCCTGTTTCAAAAGTGCTGATTCTCTGTCTGTTACTTTAGATCAGTGCTTCTCAAAATGTGGTCCGCGGACCACTGGTGGTCCGTGAGTATATTAGTAAAATTTCACATTTGAAATAAATAAATACATTTAAGTTTTCCGCACTCTCGCGGGAATATCTCCTCAATGGAGCGAGCTTAAGTTTCACTTTCGATTGCATGATATAGCCCAGCACAACACCTTCATCACACATCTGGCCACTTGTTTGTACCATTTTCAGGCGATTTGTAAAAAACGATGTGTTTTTGGATATTTGTGGAGTTAGGTGGTCCGCGAGTGTTTTTTTATTGGTTAAGGGATCCTTGGTATGAAAAAGTTTGAGAAACACTGCTTTAGATGAAAATAAGGAGCCCCTCCCCACGCCCCTCTGAGAGATATTTGGTTAAAAAGAACACAATGGTGCTCTAGGAGGAGATTCAGGTGAAACTTTCAGAATCTCTTTACACAGAGGGAACACATGTTTATGTTTAAAAGACATGAAAAGGTAGATTTTGCATAATAGGAGACCTTTAAGCACCAACCTCGTCGTTGAGCCAGCCTCCTTCCTGCAGCGTGGCCAGATCTCTCTGTGTGATGTGCAGTTTGAACGCCGCGCTGAGAACCAGGTTGGGATCACTCTGAGCCAGAGCACAACTCACCTCGGCTGACATCTCCTACACACAAAGACAAATAAATTCATGAAATGAAATATTGTTTCCATGCTTGCTTCATCAGTGACTACACCTCATTTTTAAGAATCTCACCTTGGTCAGCCTGGGTATGTCTTCATCGCTGTGCCTTGTATGTGCTGTGTGTGCAGGATGGGAGTCAGGGAGGCTGACAGCAAGAGTCTCTCTGTCCACTAGGTTGAGGCGAGTAGCTACTTCTGTAGAAAGATCCAAATCGGCTGCCTGTTTCTGCTGCAACACAGGCTGACATAACAGACAGATATAATACACCCGCTTTCCGCCCCTAAATATAACTTAATGGATGCTTTGACACGAGAGAGCGAGATAAATGACTACCTTTGCACATCTCACAGGCTGCGTGTCCTCAAAGGCTCCACTGAATGTTTTACTAAAAGTCAGGCTACCCCATCTGAAGATGAATCGTTTGGATGTTAGTAGAATTAACAGAATGAATACAATTGAGACGATGTATAAATAAGCGCACTACACTAACCTGTCCTTGGTTGCAGATGCATTTCTCCATGTAAACTTACTAGGAGCAGCTGTGCAAAAAAAAGATGTACTTTAACTTAAGAATGGACATATTTCAACCTAGTTTATGTGAAATGACTCTTTTTATTCAAGGAATTGTTTAAATATATTTACAACAAATATTATAGCTTAACAGGACTCTGAATTAAAACAACACTTACAACTATCCATCACAAACAAATACATTTACAGATCACTTGTTGTTTATAGGTATCCTACCTGTGTGTCCCATTTTCCTGGGCACTGGTTCAAAGGCTTTTCCGGAGGCAGCAGTTCTGTGATCGCCCTGTGACAGCGACGCACTGGGAGCAAAAGAAAAAGAAGAAGTTCATGTCTGTTACGTGCCAGGCAGGCTGTACTTGTGTGGTTTTTATTTCTTCTCCCTGTCTTCAGCACAGCTAATCAGCAGCTGATCGGTATCTGCCTGTGCACCTGAGTCTGATGGCTGATTGGATCCTCTCACCCTCAGCTGGCCTATCAGCAGCCAGGGCCGACCATAAAGGAGGCACCCAGGAAGTCTTCTCGCTCTCTCTCACCCTGGGCCTGTTGCTGATCGAGAAGCCTGCAATTGACTGCCTTGTAGAAAGTCATTCTACTTAGTTTGTTCTGACCTTTGTAAATGTGTGTGTGTGTTGAGAGGTGGGGGAGTTAGGTAAGTCTGGGGTACCCTGTACATTTCTCATCACGTAGCAAACTAATGTTAAGACACACTAGGTTAGCGGATTGTTGCCACCCCTGTATTCTGTTTTGTTCAGCTTTGAGTAGTTTAGTGAGGGTTTGAGTTTCAAAGGATAGATGTAGAGAGAGGTCTGGTTTTGTTATGCTTGTTTCTTTTGTTTGGCACAATCTCCTTTGACTCCTCCTCCTCCTCCTCCTCCTCCTCACACAAAGAGTATTTCTGTTAAACTTCTGTTCAGTTAGGGCTTAAGAAATAAACCTTTTGTCAACCTTTACTCTGACTCCCTCATAATTATTGGTTGTTGTGTGTTACTGTCTCCAGGTCCCCTAGACCTTAGTGGGGACGTAACAATGTCCTAAGGTAAAGTTGTTATATGGAACTTGGACAGATGTTCAATTACTCCATGTGAATAATGGGTAAACTTACTCTTTTGGTTTGGTTTGGTTGAAAGGTAGTGGTTGGCTTTTGCTGTGTTGCTCCGTCACCCTCTCCAGCAAGCGCCTGTAGTGTTCCTTGTTGTACTGCTTTATGTCCTGAAGCGAGAACCCAAGTGATGCCGAGTGTTAAAGCATGACTAGTGACGATCCTCTTGGCAAATATAACTTAAATCTACATTAGGTGCTCTGAAAGCAGAAACTGGTTGAAATAGTCCAATCCAATTAAGCCAACAAATGTACTTTATTACCTCTTCTACAGTAAGAATGGGCTTGTAGCAGCGAGTATGTCCAAAGCTATTGCAGGTTGGATCGGGGTTAGTGGTTCCTACTCTCTGAGCAGGTCTGGAGGGCAGCAGCTGGAGGGAGGCTCTCCTCTCCCGATCCTTCCCCCTGTCCGAGAGCACCGCGGACAGATTCGACCCGCTGCATTCAAAAAGGGATAGTTACATTAGCAGTGGAGCATTTAAAAAAAGGTGATACTGCTGAATATGCAGCCCTGTATATAGAAAAAGGGAACTGGGTCTGGACTTGCCTGTATTTCCTCATTAAAGGAGGAGAGGAGCTCTGAAAGGGATTCTTCCCCCTCCTATCATTCACTCCAACTATTGGTTTAACTGTGAAGAAACAACAAAGTCAACCAAATGAAACTGGGAAAAGGGATTGGAGGAACACTCAGTAAAGAGTGCCGATAAAAACCCCCTGATATAAATACAGTCAACGTATAATTCTTCTCCTGCAGTAACAGCAGCCCTCACTTACTCATTCTCCACTCGGTCCTGTTCAGCCACGAGGTTTGGAGCTCATCTATCCCTATCAGAGTGACAGGCTGGATCAAAACAGGAAATGCAAGGTCATTGAAGATGGAGAATACATATATTTAATGCCAGAGCACATTTTATATTACGGTTAGGAATCTGGTCACAGAAGAAAATTACTTCTAATAACCATTTCATGTGTTGCCCAAGAAAAGCCTTCAAAACCCTGCCTTGGTTGTATTTTGTAGAATATTTTAATTGTATCTACATGTGGTTTTATTTCAGTATATGCAAACTACAAAGGTTAACGCTACAATGCATACACAATACAGTAACTACTCAATAGCTTTGCATCTGCATTCATCTGACTAATGTATCTGTTTAGAACTTCAAATGCCCACATGATGAATGTAGTTGGAGCACAAACCTGCATGTCTTCATAATGTTCGGGCGTCACACTGGTCTTCCGCCGGTTGCGAAGCCTGAGCAGACCTGCTACACCGGCCACAGTCTTCTTCACAAAGCTAATGACTACATCTGAAAAACAGGACACCACAATTAACAACTTGCATCTTCATTTGTGGGAGACAATTTGGAATCATTAAGCTTTTCTATTTATTGTACAAACCTCGCCTATTTCTTTTCACCTCTACCTGGTCACTCTGGCAAACATTGTCTGCAACATCAACACTGAAACAAGAAAATAACAATTTGAGATGGGTGATACTAATAATATAAAAATATTCCCAACTCAGTGACATATCAACAATTTGAGGACATATTTGGGTTCCATTCAGGTAAACATGTCTAAATGTGTCAGTCTAATACAAAAGAGAAGGAGGTTTCTGCTATTAAGTGTAGGGTTAGTATGATATAAAAAGTTGTAGGCCAAATTGTAGGGCTGAAACCAATTATGTTAATTATCAAGTAAAAATATGCTGCAAAATTAGTCTTTTTATTGGAAAATATGATGGAGACCAAGATGTTTATTTCTACTGAAATATGTTTTGCAAACCCACAAATATTAAAATGCAGTCGTATAGAAAAGAGCACAAAACAAAAACGGATAATTAATTCATAGTTTATTGCATAACCATGATATTAGAATGCGTGAATAATAGCTAAGTGTATGATTGTACATGATAACATAGAAGGTAACTAATGTTATTTGGGGTTAGCCCAAACATTACACATGGCTGATTTCGTTTTGTTTTAAATGGACGTTTCATGTTATGCTCAGGACAACTCATGAATTAACTTAACTGCAGCATGAAAGACACACTTGAACTGTCAGGCTAGCAGTGTGCCAAATCTACTATTACTTAACTACAATACGAGACGATATTTTGGTGACGTAAATTGTTCACTCGGATCATTTAACATGATTAGCTTGAATTAGTGTTAGCTGGTTAACTGCATAACGTTCGATGACGTTAGCAGCCAACGTTCCTATGTTATGAATATGATTCAATTGGTAACTTTACATAACGGAATCAAACCTTTAGATAACAAAGAGGATATAATGGCGCACCATCAACTCAACTATTGATAGTGAGCACCTACATAGGACTACAATAAGAGCCTTTGGATGATCCACCGACCTCTGGTAGTTCCGTTTGGCCGGTCTGATGAGGCTCTCGTGCCGCTGCTCATCTACGCCAGGTCGCGTGGGTATGTCCTGGCTAACGTTACCTTTCCCGGGCCACTCGTTGTGGTTCTGCCCAGTAACGGGCTCAAACAGCGATGAGATTCCGTCAACTATCCATCCATACATCCCAGACACATACGAGAGAATTGTAACGGGGTCTTCTACGCGGTCCAGGACTAATTTCACCACAGATAAGATGTCAAACAAACGGTCTACGACACACCGCCCGCCGTTGGGGTTAGCTAAATTAGCAGCACAGTGAGGATGTGCGTCATTCAGTGTTGATGTTTTACGTGGTGCGAATGTTCTACTCACCAACGGGAAACGGGTGGGCGGAGTTCTAATGGGAACTTTGTGTGGAAAGATGAAATGGAGGAACCACCACACGCGTCTTCTACGAGCCTTATAAACAAGCGAACCCGCTGACAGTGACAGAGAGGGTAAAGAGCGTCAGTTATGGCGTCAGTAGAGATCACTAGCTGCTTCTGAGCTGCTTAGTTATCTATTATTTGTTACATAATATTTCTTAGTAATTCCCATTTACTATATCCCTGCGAGTCTTGAGAAGACAATTACATGATAGGTATTACGTGTCTATGAGTTGATTACATTAGATTTGAGTGTTGCTGCAGAAACTAGTGTCCCATCTTTGATACAAATGTGAGCCTGATTCCAGGAAAAGGAAATAAATAATTATTGGTATACATTATGACTTTTAAAATAATTATTTAGAAAAATATATCTAGTAAATTAACTTAGTAATAGTGTTTGTTTAAAACCCAAACGTTGTTTATTTTTGGGTGTAGATGTTTGGAGTACAATTTAAATGGTGTCCTAATTTTCATTATGAAGAGAATGTTTTTGGATTATTTAAATCAGTAAAAAGTCAAAACCAACGAATGATATCTATATATCATTCGTTTATCAAAGATAGGTCACTAGTTTCTATATCTATATAGTTAAGTAATAGTAGATTTGGCATATATACATATATATATATATATATATACACACACACATACCCACACAATTCGTTAGTTTCTCAAGTTTTTTTATATATGTATATAGTATCTCCTGCATTTTGCAAGTTGATTAATAATTTGTAAAATACATAAATTGTTTACAATTATCTCATGGTTTTAGCAATAGACATCATAGTAAGCAAACACTGGATTTACTATCTCTTAAATGTCTATAGTAGTTAACAGGGTACAGTATTATAAAAGCAAATATTTTATATATAATACAAAATATAATACTAGCCTGTCAGACGTTTATATAATCAAAAACAGCACATGATAATATGGGTTGATTCATAAAGATCTTTCACTCTGCAAGAGTGTGTAGAGATAAGAGTACATCAACTCAGGATATACTTAAATTATGAGCTGCAGTAAAATAAAGTCAGTCTGGTTTGTAAACACACACTTACATTTTCTTATCAACTTTATAGTAGAAACATACATACAAAACACTTATATAGTTCACTGTTATGCAATAATATGCTCATTAGGCATGTTGATTACAGATTCTCAGTAAAAATCAGTGCAAATTTGGACGCATGTATACTGAACATCAGTCCTATTTACAAGCACAAACGCGTATAAAAACATTAGTAGAAAAATAACAAACAGCACTTTAAAATAATGAAAAACATTTGTTCTTGCAATATCTCGAGTGGCCTTCAAATAACCAATATACAGAGAGTAGAACAATTACAATAGAACATTTCAAAATAATTTATGTACTTATAAAATCACGTCACCCACAAATGTAATATATTCCTTTCTACATGGGTGCAAGGCATGGACAGTTTTGAAACAAAATGCAGACAGAGGCAATTCATTCAGCGTCGGATCACTTTGGGTCGGGCTGGAAAGCAGACGAGTCTGATAGGACACAAACAAATAAGGATTATCAGACAAAGTGAACAGCAGCATTCTGTACAATTTTATTCCAAGCAATCATAAAGTCAAACACAAACCCACTGATGTTGTAATCCAAATGAATGTTGTGTTCCATTGACAGTATTATTATATCACATTGTTGGAACAGATAAAGGCACCAAACTCTTTATCAATGATAACAAACTTACTGTTGACTGTTAAATATCAAGCTTATCCAGGTTAGTTGATCTTTATATCAAAGGCTTGATAGTTTGCATAATACATTCAAAAGGTTTACATGTGCAAAAAATGGGTTTAAATATAATTTAACATAAGGATCATAAACCTGCAGGGCATGTACCTCCAGATTATTACCCCATACTGCACTCAGTGAATGATGAACAGTCGGCACCCGTGTCATAAGAGGTGTATTATACTTCTTTATTATTTGATGGAGTGAGTACGTTACACTCACACTCTCCTGGACCATTCACGTAAGGGGCGACAAGCAGCTCAGGTACAGCCACGTCCTATTGTCCTGCAGCCAGCGCTGCCGATTACCAATCATATCAGGGGAACAAGGTGGCTGTATCCTCCTTTCCTCTTTAGGGGACAGGGCTATATGAGTCTTGCTTACTTGTTTGGGAGATGATAGAGCACACAGGTTTTTCTGGAATTGAATAACAGGAAGTGTTTGGCCATCCATCACAACATCTGAATTGTTCCTATATTAACTTGTCTTGTGTCTGTGTTTTTTTCCACACCACAGGTGAATTGGAAAACACTTCCCAAAAACAAGTGACCAAATGAGGAGACATGCACCTAATGCTGGGATCAGACTACACAATGTTATTGTCCTTTGAGAGACGGATTGTGTCAGATTAGGCAGTCAAGAGTCTAAGGTTTTTGCATGACTGATGAGTAACGTGGCAGACTAAACAGAAATGACATATCATAACTTGAAAATCTTGACCATTACACTCGTGATTGTTGTCTGGTCTCTGCATTAGAGCTATACATCATGAACCCAGTGCCCTGTAACATCTCCCAGTGTGATATTTGTTATTATTCCTGGATAGGTGGTGAGAACCCGACAAGTTGTGCTTATGTTTAAGATTGAATCTTATCTGTTTTTGAGTGGGATGCCTTCAAGTCTGTGGGTCACGACTGTAATGTCTAACCTGATTGCACGCTGCTCTGAGCTTCGAAAACTAGTCCAAGATAAACGACCAACAGAGTGTAAAAGAAAAAGTGACCCCAAATCTTTAACCGATGAAACAACCCGTTTGTAGACCTTACACCCTGTGTTTCCAGTTTTCATCAAGTGTGTGACTTTAGTGCTGTAAATCCCTGGTTTCACCTTACAGAGAGTTAATGCCCCTCACTTTGTCTTGCTCCAACCAATCGCTGCTGGACTTTCTCTAGATGGTGGATATATTCTGTCAGAGATCGCTCTGGATCCTGAGACGTTCCTCCTGACGTCTCCAAAGCCGGAGTAGGGCTGGAGTACGACCTGGAAAGAAAAAGGCTTATTAAATGAGAAATGACTTTATTCCTATAGAATCTCAGAATCTACAATTCAATAAGGGCCCAAACCTGTTGTGCAACCTGAAGGGGGATTTTTTGGGCGGAACGAGAGCTGACACTGTGTCTCTGTGGACGGAACTGCTGTCTCTGTTTGGTGGCGATTCAAAATGTATTCTTGGCTGTAGTTGCCTTAAAACTTCAGCTTTAGGTCCTGTAAGAGACATCAAGATTACAATTACACCCACACAGCGTGAAGGGATGCATATCATCATAAATCATTTTTGAGCTCACCTGGAGCATGTCCATTTACACTCCCAGAGATGGATAATCTTTTGATCGCTTTCTGCCACTTCTTGGTTAGGAATTTCATTCTGAAAGAAATCGTCTGATCAGTTTTATCCACAGACCAGTCGTGACAAACTCGCATATCTTTACATCCTGCTACACTTCTTCTTACCTTGAGACAGCAATGACAACCCGTACAACAGCTCTAAATCGACTGCGGGGTCTGTTGTAGGAGGACAGGGGGGGAGTCGGCCATGCCCCCATACGTGCGATGAGACACAGTGTGGCCTGCTCACAGTCCTGGAATCCTCCCAATAGCAGTACGAGGTAACGTTTCTGGTACACCAGAGCTTTCCTGAAGCTCTCAGCACGCAGGTAGCGCTCATACAGACGCTGCACCTGCAAAACAATAAACACAGGTATCGTTTGAACCTTGGTCCATAAAATGTCTGGAAATAATGAAAATCAAAATTGATCAAGTTCTCAAAATGTAATATGATGTATTTTTATGTCTTGTTAAAATCGAGTCCATTCCCCAACATATTTAGTTTAATATAAAACGGAGAAAAGCAAGAAAACACAACAGCAGCATATTATAGCATTTGTGCTTTAAAAAAAAATAGCACTTAATAGACCAATATAAATGGCAAATCTTTTTCTCTGCAACTAATTGTTAAGCCAACATATATTAAATGTTTTGATTTACTTAAGTGGGCCCCCTCTTGCTGCACCATCAACGCAGTGATAAATCTTTCATCAGCTGTCCAAGAACAGATTTGTACCTTGGCGTTGCTGATCACATCGTTGATGGGTCTGTTTTCAGTTTCCGTGGTGACCTTGGCCAGCTCGTTCTCCGTGAGCCGCAGCTCTCGCTCCAGGAAGGTGAGTCTGTGTTTGAGGGTGGCTTTCTCCTGGCTGAGCGATGTCACGCGCTCCGTCAGCTCCGAGTTCTCCTTCATCGTCCTTTCCAGCAGATTCTGTGACGACGGCATCTAGGGAGTGGAAGGTACATTCATTTCACAACAGTCCAGTGAGTGTATTCCTATATTACTAACATGACTAGCATCTACAAGTGATATAGTAGAGGGGTCTGTGGCTGGTTCCACTGCAGTAATAACCACGTGTGTACCTGCTGGTTGTGTTGTGCGCTGCCTGTCTGGAAGTCACTCTGGAGATGCTGTGAAGATGCAGCCATGTTATGCTGCCTCAGCCTCTGAGCAGACATTTCTTTCTCCTCTCTTTCCAGCTCTACCAGAGTGTGCTGCAGCTCCTGCATGCGCTGCTGGTCCTGTTGCCTCAACATCTCCAGCTCACACTAAAGTAAGAAATGTTTAGAAAAGGAGCATGTGTGTGAGGAACGAAAATGATCTTAAACGTATCGAAAAAGTAGAATTACATTTGTCAAAGTGGTGAGTATAGTTAAGAAGTGTATTATATTTTACCAGTTTGTCATTGGTCCTCTCTTGCCGTCTCTCCCTCTCCATCTGCTCCTGCCTCCCCTTCCTCCTCTCTCTCTCCCACTGCTCCTCCCTCTCCCTCTCTTTGTCCTTTATCACGTGCAGTTTCT